CTTCCGCTGACAACGAAGCAAGTCACCAGGAAGATGAGGAGAACTATTCCCCCAGCGATGGACACAGCCAGAATGGTGGATTGGTTAGGGTCCCCGATAGCAAAAACATCTATATAAGAGACAAAGGGAACACAGTGGATTAATAAACAAAAGCATAAAGGAGCATGGAAAGAAGCTGGGGGGGAGCGAGGGGAGAAGAGATGAAGGAAAGCTAGGAGTAAAAAGACAGCAAGGTGAGTGTGGCGGGTGGAAAGAGGGAAGAGAGAATGAAATATGATAGCAATAGAAAAGGAGATAAAAGGCAGAGGTTGAAAGAGAGGGAGAAAGGGAGCGCGGCAAACTAGTAAAAGAGAGCGAGGGAGGTGGATGGAATAGTAAGTAAGGTCCTTGATGAAAAGCGCTCTCCCTCTCTGCATCGCCTATGAGGGTATGAGAGTGGACGTGAAAGCCATTCCCATTCGGCCACGCTGTCCAAATGGATATGTTAACATTGCACATAACAAGGCTACCGCCGAGAACTTTCTGCAAAGATGCATCGATTTTTACGCCACACCAATCGAGCCATTACTCAAAACAAATACCCCATTTATCTGGCTTAGCTAAGCATGAGCGGACACGTGTGTCTGTGTGTGTATGTGTATATATATATATATATATATATGTGTGTGTGTGTATGTGTGTGTTGAATAGGCAAATTAATACCCCTAGGCAGGCACAGATAAGCATTGATCTCCTATTACATTTACTGGCGCACAAATACACACCCTTTTTTAACAGTCAATATAATTGATCTGATTAGATAACCTTGATATGATTGCTATGGGGTCAGCTGAATCTGAACATGAACTTGCTGTATGAAAGCTCAGTTGCAGCTGTATATAGCAGTGATAGCCATCCTGCGTCCTGAGTTCTCCAAGCTGAAGGTATAGTCACAATCTTTTTTGTTGCAGGACAGGATTAGAAACCTAGCTTTGAATTACTTTTTATTGATTATTGAATGATTAGTAGGCTAATGTGTGCCTGTTGCATGCTACAATGACAATCTATAGCGCAGTGCTATACATTAACTGATTTATCCCCCTCTGCCTGCCTGTCTGGGAATCAATGTTCACTTTGAAGAGCACATTATGGGACCTCTAAAGCAGAAAATCCTAGAGCACATAATGAAGCGATAATGAAAGTGGATGACAGCAAACAAAGGAGAAAAGGACAAGTGACAGGGAGCTTGAAAGTGCCATGAGAGAGATACAGCATAGTACCCCCAGAGCTGTTTGTGAGGCCTGGCCCCGCTGGCCTGGATCAAACCCAGCATAGATTTCTCTTTTGTGTGTCGACCTCTTCTTTCCCAAAGTCCCAAAGAATGGAATACATTTCTAAATGTAAGTGCTCAATGTCCTTTAAGCAAAAAGGGAAACAAATCCTACTTTAAACAGACCAATGGTGAGAATAAAGCCTGAAAAAAGCCGTCATCCAGGTAGTAAGATGTCAGAATACCAGAATACCTGAGGACGCTCTGTGTTGTCTTTCTGTCTTTTGAAGTCATGCTTGTTATCAGGATCTTCTTCTACCCTTTAGATTTTTCTTCAGTGGATGGTGTGAATCAAAACTTCACAATCTAGGAATGCAAGTTAGCAGATTCGTTTTACGTCATTGTGAAATTGGGTTGTCTCCTTTTTGCCTGATATGTATTCTAGGGTACTTTCAAGTCACTGGTTCAGATATGTATTGTAGATGACAACCTGTGAGGCTGCTGAGGTTTTTCTGTCTGACAACAGAACTGAAGAACCCATTCGGATGAAAAGTGAGCTATTTTATAACCATCCGGTGGATTGATTTAAGGAGGGATGAATCAGACTCTTACTATACAGTGATATAATATGCCAGCACTCTTTGCTCTGCAGTTAATCTTTGTGCTTCTTGTTCACCTGCACCATTCACCTCTAATTTCGATTGCTTTTAACTGGCATGTCACTATTTTCAGTGCAGCCACTGCCTGCTATGCCAGTGTTCAGCTGAAAACCGCAGGGAAATTTTAAAAAGAGGAAAATAAAATGAAAAAATAGCAATCAAATTACACAGACTGAAAAGAAAACATAATGGAAAACTCATTCATTACAAGTAAACAAATATTTATTATTCATCCTTTTACCTTCGTGGCTGGTTTCCAATTCAATCTCTCCACCGTAGCTCCCGTAACCCCCGTCGGTTCGAGCCCTGACCCTGAACACATAGGTGGTCCCTGGTTTGAGCCCGTCCACTGTCATCATGTTGGAGCGAGTCTTCAAGACTGTGTAGTTCTGCTCCCGCTGATTCTGAAGTGGAGGAGAGAGAGGAGAGAAGATAATTTAACACTAGGTTCAGTGGATCATATTAAGTGTTAAAGTGATTGTGGGTAAAAAAAGGCTGAGATTATAGATATACTCTAAAGGGTTATATAAAGAGCAATGGACTATGGTGTAGAGAGAGACAGAAAAAAAACAGAAATGTCTGAAAATAATAGAAACCTCAAATTGTTTAATTTAAATGTCTCCAGGGGCAACATACACCTCACTAAGTTTTCATTTGTTCATCACTGGACCATTTGGTCGCATTTATACATGAGCATCTGTCAAGTCCCAGATCTTATCCTCTTTACACTTGGGGGCAATATGTGGTTTCTCAAGTCCTGCTTCGCTTCGTTCCTCGACTACCTTGTAGGTATGTGTGTGTGTGTGTGTGTGTGCGCGTGCACAAATATGTGTGTAGGAGGATGAATAAAGAATAAGTGTGTCTGTCAGTAAGCTGATTCCCTGCAGAGAGGCTGATACTCTACCTAATGGAAGACACTCTACAACACGGATTAACATTAACACTATTTTACTGCTAATGCCTGCCAACACACACACACACACACACAGAGACAGACACACACATACACACACACACACACACACACACACACACACACACACACACACACACACACACACACACACACACACACACACACACACACACACACACACAGAGACACACACACACAGGCTTAATTTCATCACCTTGGCCGTGTTTTACGAGGTTTGTTCGACAGATGTGTGGTTAATTGGCTTGGTGTGAGCAGTAGGGGAGACGTGAGGGATATGGCAATGGAGATAGACCGATCGGAAGAAAGAGAAAGAGAGACAGATGCTTGTGATGAACGAGTCATCACCGACGTGCCCTAAGGCTGAACCCATGTCCTACGAGCCTAGCCAACATGTAGATGAAGAGAACAACAGAGAGGAAAGAAACATGTTGCCTTCCAGAAATTAGGCATTGAAGTAATTGTTTAAAGGTTTATGAAATAAAGTTTATTTGCTTTCTTGCTGAAAGTCAAATGAGAAGATTGACCCCACTCTTATATTTGTATCCTGAATAGGAAGATATAGCCAGCAGCCAGTTAGCTTAGCTTAGCACAAAGACTGAACACAGGGGGAAAAAGCTTGCATGGCTATGTCCAAAGGTAACAAAATCTGCTTACCACAACCTCTATAGTTCACTAACTAACATGATATATATCCTTTCTTAATCTATGCAGAAACCAAAGTGCAAACACAACAATTTGTCATTTACAAGGGGTTATGTGCTGGACTATGTCTTGGCTAGTCCCCGCTGGTTGCCTGGAAAACTGGTTACAGTCAAGAAATAATCTGGAAATAACCCCTCATAAAACGGCAGATTGATGTTTTTACACACTGGATATAATGTGTTAATTTGTGAGCTTCAGAGATGCAGGTAGGTTTTTATCTTTGGACACTGCCAGGCCAGGTGTTTTCCCCTTATTCCCAGTCTTTGTGCTAAGGTAAGCTAATCAGCTTCATATTCAGACATGAGAGTGGTATCCAATTTCTCATCTAACTCTTGGCGACAAAGTCAAACTATTCCTTAAAAGTCGTTCCACACCTCCAGTTTGTAACACAGGCTTTCTGTTGAAAATATGACATAACAACTGAACTGATCTTCCCTTGTAAAACTGGTGGAGTGTCGCTTTAAAAATTAGTTTGTGTGTGTGTGTGTGTGTGTGTGTGTGTGTGTGTGTGTGTGTGTGTGTGTGTGTGTGTGTGCGTCTCTCTCACCTTCTCATAGTAGATGACCTCATACTCCACTATCGCGCCGTTGGGTCTCTCTGGACCCTGCCAGGCCAAAGTCACACTGTCCTTGCTCCGCCTCTCCTTCAACACCACGCTCACTGCAGCAAACAAAGAACAAGAGGAGAAAGCATGTGGAACAAAGAGAGAGTAAAGTTCAATGAGATGTTTAAAAAAACAAAAGAATGAAAAGAGGCAGATAGAATGGTCTGTGGGGGCGAGGAGAGACATTTCAGATGGATACCTACTGTGCTATAATGAGACCCACGTTTGAAGTGTGTGTCATGTAATTTTGCTAATGAGAGAGCTTACAAGGTGTTTTATACATGTGTGATCACAGCATTCTGCGCTGTGTGTACTGTATGTGTATGTGTGTGTGTGTGTGTGTGCGTGTGTGTGTGTGTGTTTATCTGCTTGTGTTATTAATGTGCAAACCCAAAACTGTGCAACTTCCTACTTCCCACATTGGGGCACATGCTCAAGTGGGTTGAAAGTGTGTGTCTGTATAAATGTGTGTGTGTGTGTGTGTGTGTGTGTGTGTTTGTGACATACTGTAGTCGAGAGTAGCACATGTGACATGTGGGGATCTTAATGAGGTTAACGACCTCCTACACCCCTTTCACCTTCCCCCTCCTGTCATTACACACACAACCATAGTACGAGGCCTATTAGTCATCACCACCTTGTCAAACAGGCTTCTTTTACAGAAATTTCCCACAGTCCCACGCAGTGAAAGATTCACACGTGATTATATATGTGGAGGCAGAGATGAGGAGGTGTCATTTTGTGGTATCAGAGTGATGCAGCATGGCAGTAATTCTACATTTGCCGTGCCAGAGCCTGATAGTATTTCAGAGTGCACTGCAATCAGGAGACCATTTTGAAAAATACCTAATTTGCTATCCTACAAATTCCTAGTTCAGGCTGATGAATATATTCTTCCCTAGAGGATTTTGTTTTCTTATCATCCTTTAAAAGTGGATTCCTGCAGAATCCTTTCTTCTCAAGTTTTTACTGCAGTTTAAATCCTAAATACTGTTAAAGACCCTTCTGTGTCAACAAATACTGCTGCTCTCACCTGTCTGTGATGTAGTGACATTGATGACTACTGTTCCTCTAGGTGTGGGACTTAAGTCTGACACGCCATTCTGGCTCTCAACAGTGAAGCTGTAGTTGGAATCTGGCTGCAGGTCGGTGACCAGCACGGTGGCTGACGATAGACCAAACTGTCTTGGAACAAAATGGACGCTGCCACCGCATGGCATGCACTTCCTGCCATCACCGGAACACTTCCTGCAGTGGAGGCTGTAGGTGATGTCTCCCCGGCCTCCCGTGTCTCTGGGTGGCGACCACTCTAAGGTGACGCAGGTCTCGTTCACTGTGGAGATGGGGTTCTCTGGAGCAGATGGAGGACCTGAGGGAAGATAGAGGCATAGATTTATTTCTGTGAACAAGAAGAGTCTTATCCAACCTACTGGGAAATGACTGGAAGTGAATGTGAGGAGTTTAAAGGTACCCTGGGGAGTGTTTATAGACAAACAAAGTATAGTATAGTTGCCTTTTCTCACCAAAGGCACTGTGTGCATCTAGCTAACTTCGAACGAACCAGTAAGCGTGTTGGGAGAAAAGTGAATGAAGAAATACTTGGCAGTTCTGATAACCACCGATCAGCAATAACATGATGACCACTGACAGACTTTGATGTGTAAAGTTGGAGCTCCCCTTTAATGTATTTCCTTCCTCAAAAAGAAATTGTAGTGCTGTCTTTTGGATGTATTTGAAACCTACATTGTTCCATCAATGTTTACCTCCTGGCAGTCTTTCTAACCTTTGTTGGTACAATGATTAATCTTATCACCACCGGATGCTGATCACTGGAATAGTAGTCTATCTGCAGAGCTATGCACAAAACGGAGGACCAACTAACCACAGGGTGTGTTTAATGATGTAAAACAAAACAAATATTCATTTGAAAATTAACAATTCTATATATGGCCCATTGTTGAGCTATACCACCCCTTATCAGTGCCAGCTCATTATATACTGACTGATGAATATTTTTTTTTTTTACATTCTCTTAACATGCATTGTCTTCATGTTCATTACCAAACTTATTGCAGTTTCTATTAAGAACAGAATTCACATTGATTAAATTAAAAATGGATGAACTGAGGGTGGACGCTCGATTAATGAGCAGCTATGGAATGGACAGTGATTAAAAGAGCTTGGCTGATTGTAAATGTGACGGTATGAGAATACGTTGCACTTCCAAAGTTTAAATCCATCTTTAAAGAGAATTCACCATAATGTTAAATAGCTGACACTCGACTGCAGGGAGGTTTTTACCATGTGAAGTTAACTGATACTCTTTGGGGCTGCACTGCACACAATTAATAGTGAGTGGACAATGATCTATAGAAAGTGCCTGGAGTAATTTTCTCATGAGTCAGGTACATTTTATGATTCAGATCAGTTAATATTACTCTGAACTTCAGCTGAATTATTACTGTAGAGTCCACACAGTATGTCAGTAATCTTTCTCAAGGAAGCAGAGGCATGGCAACACAAATGCTCTTTATTATACCTTTAGATGAAGGGAGTTCATGTTGATACATACATTAAAATGTCTAGAGTTAGTTTATGTGAATTGCATCCGGCTTACTGCTAATGCTGGAAAAACTGAGCTTATTTTAAACCCTACAGACCCACCCCCGTTACTTACACTTTGTGGTCAATCTGTGGAATTTGTCAACTGTTTTACGTATCTAGGAACACACATGGATGACAAATTGAGTTTCACTAACAATGTTGTTTGTACAGTGAGAGACCGTTTTAATTATGAAATTGAAGGGGCTGGTGACATAACATTTAGAAAAAAAGTGCATGTCAGCCTGAGAGAGAGTATTCATGTTTTTAATATCTCTGTCTGGTATGGACATTTGACATTAACAAACAAAAACATGCTGGCCAGGATTGTCAAAACAGCAGGAAAGATAGTATGCCGCCAACAAAAGGCATTGGATGACCTTTACAGCACACCTCTACACAGGACAGCTTTCTCCATCATTTGTGACACTAAACACCCCCTCTGCCCCTCGGGGCGACACTACAGAGTACCCCTGGCGAACACAAAGATCTAAGAGGGATCTTTTTTACGTAGTGCAACAAACTTCATGAGCAATCTGCATTAATCTGCACTCTTGTGCACAGAAGGTATGCCATACACTGTCTGGATGTTTTATTAATTGTTTTGGTGAGATGAGATTGGCTGCTACTGTATTGTGATGCATTTGTTTTTTTTAATCTGGTGAGACCAATTGTGATTTTTCAGCCTTGGCTGGACAATAAACTTCTGTTGTACTGTATTCTATTCTATAAGTCAAACTCTAGCTTGTCTCTTTTATGCAGATACTTGATTCTCAGCCTCTTAAATGTGAATGCATATATGTATTATTAGATTATAGACAAAAGGAAATTTGACATTCCCTGTTGATTATCATGTGTGTTTGTGTGTGTGTGTGTGTGTGTGTGTGTGTGTGTGTGTGTGTGTGTGTGTGTGTGTGTGTGTGTGGATCAAAGAGGTATCAAGAAGCAGAGACAAGCCAGGCATTACAGAACAAACAGCAAACAGCAGCTTAAGGGCATGCAAATTCATATTTTCTGTAACAAATTTGGGAATTATAACACATTTGTGTTTATATTCAATGAAATTCTGTTCAGGGCCACAAAAACGCTTGTGACACCTCTTGCTTTACCACTGGCTGTGGTTTTATCCGATTTTTAATGTTGCTTTTTAAAGCTACTGTTCTCACAGACTGAACGATATCTATTCAACTACCAGAGAAAAGATGAAATCTGAGATCTGAATTTGAGTAACAGATACATGAGTTTGAAGGCTTATTAGACACCAAAATCCTGAACAGCAGGACTATCACAGTGGTAATCATTTTATCTTTCATTGTGACCATTGTGAGGTAAAAAGCAGAAATATGGCTTTTACATTACAAAGGGAACTACCAGAAATGTGCTCATTCATGTATTCAGTTGGCCACAGCAGCATCCTGCAGGATGATGTTGCATTGCGTTGCTAGGTTCAACATTTTAGCTGGATAACCATTGTGTTGTGTTTTTGCTGGAGCCCTCTGCATTGGAAACCTTTTTGTGTTAACGTAGCGGCCCCATTCAAATGAATGAGGGGGCATGCATGTTGTTTGTCTGAACATGGCCCTATTGTGAAGCAGGTACTGTAGGTGCACACATAAGTTAACTTCTCACTCCTTGTTCAGTAAATCAGTACATCTACATTTTGGACCTTTTTCTGTACGTTTTCATTGGCATTCATTGCTTTTTCATTCAATTTAAAAAATGGTCAGGAACAACTGTTTGAACAAACCACAAACCCCCCCAACATGGTAAGACTTTACCATTCCATTCCTGTTGAACAACCTTATGGTAACCACTGATTATGGTTGCTCACAGCACAGCATGGTGCAGGTATCTCAACCATATGGAAATATGGCAATAGATGCCCATTCAGCCTGACATCTCATCAGGTCTTGTCTGAGCAGTGAGCCCCAGGGGGCCGCCAGCAGAGCCTGGGCCTTTCCTGATTAGACTTCCCAGTGTAGAACCTCTCTGAAGTGCAGGAGGGATGGGGGAAAGCTGGGTGTGGGGGGATAGAGGCCATGCTGGGGATAATTGAGGCTGTCGGTCATAAATCTCCTGAAAGGGTGCACTGACTGATCCTGCTAATTCTATCTTTTTCTTTGTCCATCCCCCCACTTCCCAAGGCCACACTTAACTGTCCATCATCGTTTCTACTGATCGGTCTTTTATGACATTTAGATTATATGCCTCTGATAGTCCACGATTTCCCCCGCTGTTCTATTCTCTGCCTGTGTCTTAAGTATCCTTCTCTGTGTCTCTCCATTGCTAATTCCTTCACCTTTTCTCCTTATTTTCTCATTTTCGCCCTCTTCATCCTCCACAGTGCTCTTCACCAGCATGCGTGTGCGCCCATACATATTTGAACGAACCGTTACTCATTTTTAGCTGATAACACCAACCGTTACACATCTCACCTGCTGGAACGATTAATGAGTGTAATCTACCATAACCTGATAATGGGTTGGGTATGTGTGTGCATGCTCGTGTGTAGGTGTGCACGTGTGTGTTCCTCCATATTGCTTTAGTTCAGTCACTCTCTCCCACCATGTTACTGGCCTTTCCCACCCCCACATCCCTTTGTCTATCTCAATCCATCTCTTTCTGTCACCCTCTTTCGCTCAATCTTCCCTCCTCATCCTTTCTATTCTCCTCCGTCTCTGTTCGTGAGGATGTGGTCTGATCCCCCTGGCTCTGCGTGTGATTGTGTGTGCGCGCGTGAGAGGCCGACAAAGAATAAGAAACATCATCAAGTTTCTACCAGAGTATCAGCCATATCAATGTTCCCATCAGAGATATCGGTAGGCCATAACCACACAGCTGACAGACATGGATGCGTGTGTGTTTTATATATGTATCTCTAGTGTTGTGTAAAGCAATAACAGCTGAGGAGGAGGAAAATGCACGGAGGGATTATAGATAGAACAACAAATAAATATGAAGCAGCCATGCAATGAAATTCTTACAGGAATACATTGCAAACAAATATAAATGAAATGTAATCCAATCATTGTTACTTAACACCATTTTATGAAATAACATAAAAGGCCAAAATATTTGACTACAGTGAGCACTGTATGTGGTATGAAATTAGCTTCCAACTGTTTGACTGTATTTATAGCTCATAAGATGCACAGGTCTTTGCATTTTTGCCATTGTTTGTATCACTCACGTGTGCAGGACATGGAGCGTGGGTCAGTTTCAGCGCGGTAGAAACCTTTCTCGCAAGCGCACTCGACAGCTTGCTCCTGCGAGGACGAGCTGTGAGGAGGACATTTGGTGCAGTAGGCATCTGTAGCCGAAGCTTTGTAGGTACCAGGTCTGCACGCTGGAGTGAGGAGGCAGAAAAACACAAAGTTAGAAGCTGTGCCGGTTCAACCACACATGATATAATTTCCACTAAATGATTATTAAGCATAAAGACAAGTGTTGTTAAATGTTTTTAAGGGGTCAAAACTCCAGCAATACTTATAAAGTTAAAACATTTAATCAAGATCCCATTGGTCTAGAATGCTGTATAATTTAAAAAAAAATGTATTGCAATGTTATTTGTTGTGTTTATGATGTATTTATTTATGTGTGTGTATAATGAAGGCAAGCCAGAACAGAATTCATAATAACAATCAATACATTGTTGTAAAGGAGTTTTAACTCTTTAAGACTATTTCCCTTTGTGGACACTGAAAGTAGGTGACATTGCGCCAGAAATCCCTGTTGAACTGATTTTATAGGATAATTCCAGTTCATTACAAGTTGGGTCATATTTTTGAAGATAGACTCTGTCAGTTACCATAACATTTCCCTCAGTAAAGTAACTCCTTGAGCTCTGGGAACACAGGAACTTTGCTAAAAAGTAGTCATTAGGCAAACAATGCAGTTAGATGATCAGAGTAGCCAAACTTAATTGGAAAAACTGAGAAGGATGAAATTATTTCCCAAACTGCCCGTTTTCAACTTTGATCCAGTGTAGCTACCACACACTTTTTCCAGTGTGATGAGAGATTTTTACAGACCTGTCAGGTGCATTCACTTTACCTCTAAATAAAGTGGTTTGAATAATAGAGCTAAATTGTTGGCTTATTTACAACCTGTCTTATTGTCTGGACACTGGTGTTTCTTGCCATGTCAGGTTCCCAGATCTCAACTTGGTAAGTACAGTGATATCCTCACTAATAGAAATGATGGCCAAAACTACAAGAAACATAAATCCAAGGTTGTACAATAATAAAGCGGATGTATCCTGTAAGTCTGTGTGGAAATAAAGGAGAGTCTAAGGACACACTCAAAAGGGTAAAAATGTTCAAAAAACACAAAACGACATGGGGAGTTATGTTGCAACAGAGATACAACAGACAGATACTGATAGGTCATACAATGTGCCGTGCAGCACCCATGGCAAAGAACATGAAAACAAAGTTTGATTTGATATATTGTGACATTAGGTTTACGTGAGATCCGTTTACATCAGGCTGAAGGCCTCTATAACCACAGGGCCGTACAGTACAATAACACAGTGCAACAGCAGATCAACCGTCATTCCTGTTATATAAGCTTTAGATCTTCAGGCAACCGGGGGAACAAAAATACACAGTCGCAGTCACAGCAATAATCACAATAACATAATATGACTATTGCTACGGCTGTTACAGTGGCTGCATATTAGTCATTATGTGGAGTCATAAAACTGGGGAGGGAAAACTGTGCTACCGCTCAACAGGAGCAGCCTGCTGAAATAGATTGGGGACTTGAATGATTTCCCTCTTGCATCCTAGGCAGTAAAATGGAATTCCTGACTTTCCCTTTGGTAATCTGAATATAGATTACGCATGTATTTATTTATACATTCATAGGCCTGGTATTCCCATCCTCGCTAGCCTTTTCTGCCACGGTGGTAAATAGTATTACGGTGTACAAAACCCCATGTAAGGAAAATGAGGGTGTCTCAAATGCAATTCGATAGATGCCATGTGTGTATGCATATGTGCGTGTGTGCGTGTGTGTGCGTGTGTGCGTGTGTATGTGTGTGTGTGTGTGAATAGGTTGGATCAATGATGCGACAGAATCCGCCAGGTGCTGATTGCATTTTCGTGTGCCGAGCGTTTGTGTGCGAGAAGGTGTTAAGTATGCGGCGTGTGTGTGAGCGAGCGTGTGTGTTCGCTTGCTGATTGCTTGTGCCGGTGGTGAAGGTCACGGATTTAATCAAGCTACACGTCACTCGTCCCAGAAAGGCTGTAAATTATCACACACACACACGCGCGTTCACAGGTACACACGTTGTTCATATGTTCAACACCGTGGTTAACCTGCAAATAGAGGAATGGGAAAGTGGCCTAAAAGTAGTGTGATTTCTCACTGTTGAGGTAAGTTCTTCCACCTGGACGCTGTGCTCACTCGCATACAGACAGTATTTTTAGGCAAATCATTCATCATAGGGGAGCAAAGTCCACTAGCACAATCCCCAAAAGACCTGAGAGAACACTGGAAAAGGGATGTGTGTGTGTGTAGGTGTGAAAGAGAGAGAACGAGGGAAAGAAAGAAAGAAAGGAAAGGGAGTGATAATTCTCAAAGGGTTTCTGCTCTCTTTCCTCCTTGCTGTCAGCTTCCAAGGTAAAGGGTGCCTATGTGCTGTGCAAGTGACTGTGTATGGGTGTGTGTGTGTGTGTGTGTGTGTGTGTGTGTGTGTGTGTGTGTGTGTGTGTGTGTGTGTGTGTGTTCTTGTTGGCTGGGATGTAGGAGCAGGGTGGAAAAGCCGCTTTTCTCCGGGGACGTTTCATCCGGAGAGTCCTGGCTCCGGGCGCAGGCCAGCCACACAGGCACAAAGGGCCCCGGCGTTAGAGGACAGACAGGGCACCCCATGCCAGGCCTGGCGTCCAAACAACCGCCTAATCAAAAACTTTCTGCAAGAATGGCGGCTTGGCTGCTTCGAGTGGAGCTTCCATCTCCCGATCGGCTGTTTTCTGCTCTGCTTTTCCACCTCCTTCTCACTCCAGTTTTTCTTTCTCTCTCAGAGTCCCCCTCTCCCCTCTCTCCCACTTTTCTTGCCTCTTTTTTTCCTCAAGCTACTCCCCGTGTCTGCCCCATGGGAAATGTGTTACTTGACTTGGTTCCCTTATGATTAATGATTTACCATAGATATAAAAAAGGGACAAGACTGAGGCCGAAAGACAGTGCTCACATAAACATACTGTACACTCATACACAAAGCAGACACAAAGAGCACAAAAGTTTAGTCACAAAAACTGCATTGTAGAACTATGAGCTAACTCCAAATTTGCTTTAAAGTAACAGTTGACAGTGCTGTGCAGTTTATAGGGTGTGTGTGTGTGCGTGTGTGTGTGTGTGTGTGTGTGTGTGTGTGTGTGTGTTTCCTCTAAAGACAAAGAGTGGCCTCAGATCCAGTGTCTTATTAAATATTCATCCAGTCACCAGAGAGACTTAGTGTATTTATGCCAATCGATAGCTCTTAGATATGATATAGTACTGCTACTCAAGACACACCCTCAGTCACCACGCACTGATTGAGAAGGGAACAGCCCAACTGTCTTCTTTGGGAGAATGCTGTATGAGCTGATTGAGTCTATTCTATATTCTTTTTAGGGCTGCAGCTACTTGAACTGATTATAAAATGTCTGAAAACAGGTAAATACGCCTTTTACAAGGTTTCCCAAACCACATCTCTATCTATCTATCTATCTATCTATCTATCTATCTATCTATCTATCTATCTATCTATCTATCTATCTATCTATCTATCTATCTATCTATATCAATATTAACAATATTATCAATGGGTCACTTGACTATGTAATGTAACTGGTGTCACTCGGTGATGAAGGCACAGAGGATTTTTACCTGATTCACACCTTTACAGCCTCACCACACATCAGCCATATTTCCAGCAGGCTACTTGTTTTCATCTGAAAAAGTTCTTATAGCAGTGACTGTAAGCTACCTGCCCCGTATCAAACAGCAGACAGACACAGTGGAGCATTTAGCAGCTCAAGAGCCAAATATTTGCCCCAAGAGTTAGTGGAGAGTAAACCAGAAGTAAAAGAATTGTTAATTGTGGACTATTTCACTATTTACTATTTTACTCATGAGGTAACCAGAATCACCAAATCACCAAATGAATGCTAATTTGCTCCATGTCTGATAGATTTTTTTGAAAAGAATTTTGGATTTGTCAGCAGATAAACATTTGATATAATGCCAACTTTACAGGGTGTTGTGTTTTAAAGTTGTAACTTCAAAAAGAAGGGAAAAAAAAGAAAAGCAAATTTCTGCTTTTGCACTGTGCAGTTTTTCTTATTTAGAAATAGAAAAACAAAGAAATGCAGTAAATCTTCACATTTCAGACGATGGAACTTTAACGTTAAATGACAAAAAAATAAATCCCTTTCTGCTGAACAAGCCTAGACAGAGAAAAAAGCCAAAATGAACTGTACTGGAAGGAGTACAAAGTGTCTTACACATGCACACACACATAAAGTGCTTTTACAAATGCAGACTTTACAGTTAAGTATAATTATACTGTTACATGGACATGCATGAGTACGGAGCTGTAACTGTAGCATTAAAGGTAGACACTGGCGTCCTGAAGAAAAGTATGCTATGCTTCAGTTAATGTTAATGTAACGTATGCTGTGATGAATGACATTTATGTGTGGATGGTAAAATAAGGTTTGTGAGCTGCTTGTGTGAATGACAGAAGCTGCTGACTGTACCGGAAGAGTTCGGTAAATGTACTCAGTTACTGTTGGAAAGGGCCCGAACAGACTCACACACAGAGAAACATAAACCCGACATCTGATAGTCAAAGTCATTACATTCTAATTACATTCAACCAGGCGGCTCTGTACATATGGAAAATCACATCAGCTGCACTTTTCTGAACACTTCCTGCGCCTGGCTCCTCTCCTCTACTTCCCTTTCAAACGTTCTTGCTATTTATTTATTTTTTTAAAGTATATTGGGCTTTTATTGCCTTTATTACAGTGACAGCTGAAGATAGACAGGAAAGGGGGGCAGAGAGAGGGGATGACATGCAGCAAAGGGCCGCAGGTCAGATTCGAACCCTGGGCCGCTGCAGCAAGGACTCAGCCTCGGTACATGGGTCTCCAGCTCTACCAACTGAGCTAACCGGGCGCCCATGTTCTCGCTATTTTAGCTGTTAATTGCTCTGTTCTCTTGCTCTCGCACTTGCCTAAAGTCAAACATTGGCTCCCTGCCGGTTTTACCATAAAGGGCAGAAAGAGGAGAAAAACTCTGTGTGTTTGTGGACGGGTGGGGGGTATAGAGTTGTGTGTGTGTTCTTTTGAGAGGGAAGTT